GGGATTGAACTCAAGCCCCCGTGCTTGCCAGGAAAGCACTTATTCCACTGAGCCATCTCCCCAGCCCCCAGCCCTCATTTTAAGGGCAGTGGGCAGCAGGCTCTGCAGCAGCAGCTCACCCGGTGGCGCTTGCCCTGGATCTTGGCTCGGGCGATGTCTGAGGAGCTGCGGCGGGGCCCACGCCTACGAACTCGAGCATAGTTGGCTTCTTGAAACTCTTTCATTTTTTTCCTCTTGAGCCGAAATTGGTGGCTGCAGCTCACATTGTACCTGGCAGTCAGGGAACAGACAAGATATCAGGATGCTAGAAAGACTAGTCACTACTCTGCCCTAAATATGAACTGGTATTTTAGGAGTTGACTTGGGGAAGCCAATGAAAGCAAAGAGCAAGAAATGCAGCATCAGATTGTGAGATGGCCCTGAAAAGAACTGTAACTTCTGGAGGGAGAAAATAGTGCTGCGCGGGGCAGAAACCAGGGCTGAGGAAGACGGGTGGTACCCACAGTACCTCTTGGCACAAGTCATGGAGCAGAACCTCTTAGAGCCTCGGAACTGCTCTGCAGGGGCGTACTTCCCACAGTACTCGCACTTCAGGAGGTTTGCCTTCTTATCTAAATCTGGAAAGCAAAAGGTCACTGGACAGTCACCCTGAGATTCTTCTGCTCCTCAGCCTTTGTTAGCCACAGCTGGGATCTAACTAGCTGAGGTTCTATCCAGATCTGCTACGCAACCTATGGGAAAACACCTACGCCCAACACTACTAAGACTTGCAAGTCTCTAAGGTCTTACTAACCTCACCTAGATGATTTCCATTCTAGATATCTTACTAATTTTATCCTAATTCAACACAGACTTCAGATTATGATTCCATTTCTGAATAGGAAAGAGAAACTAATCACTAATCACTAATGCCTAGAAAGATTTAAGATCCTGTTCCCACAGAGTTCAAAAGCCTGAAGGAATTTGAGTGTGATGGTACATGCCTGTAATCTTAGCACTTAAGAGTAAACTAAGGCAAGAGAATTTGTGAGTTTGAGGCCAAATATGTATCAAGACACTGTCAAAAAAAAAGTCAAAAAAAAAAAAAAGGAAGGAGAAAAAAATGGGGAAAATTTTCAAATAGTAATAAAACTAAGAATTATGTATAGATTATATAATCTAGGATAAGAACAGGAAATTAAGAATTGAAATGTAATGTTCCTGGCTCAGCATACAGCACAGTGGTAAAGCATTTGCCTAGCATGTATAAGGCTAGGTCCTAACCCTAGCACTGAGGGAGAAAAAAAGCGTAAGTGTTCCAAGTTATTGTATAGCTCTTAGCAGCACTACGTATCAAACCCAAGACCTACTATGAAATATAGAATAGTTTTTCTGTGTCTAACTAAACATCTAGCACTTACTTTAAATATTCTTTCACACTGGGTTCTCCGACACATCTCTATAGTCCTCTTGCCCTCAGATGGGCCTCTAAATACTCACCTGCAGAGGGACTGTCCCCTCCCAAGGGGCCACTTGACTGACTTTCACTCAGCCCCGTTGGGAGGCCAGTCTGTAGTGGCTTCTCAGACTCTTTCAGCAAC